ATAATAACATTTTATTAGAAAGATGGAGAGACAGATATATAGAAATGTGTGTGAAAAAAATGTTTATTATATATATATATATTTTTTTTTTTCTATTTAGTTACTAATTTTCTAGTTTCTACTTAGATACTAATTTTTTTTTCTTTTGCTGCTGTGCATTTGTGTGGGTAATGTGTGTCTTTCTTGACTTGAAGAATAAATACTTTTAAGAAGTGAGATGCAAGTATATTTAAAAGTTCAATCATGTATTCCTTTATTCTAATTAGTTTAATTATTTCTTTAGCTGGTCTGACTATGTGACTACAAATATATATATATATATATATATATATATATATATATATATATATATATATATATATATATATATATATATATATATATATATTTATTTCTATATGTTTTGTAAGTATTTTGTTTGTAATACATTTTGATATGTATGTAGGTCTGTGTGTCTTTCTTGACTTGAAGAATAAATTACTTAAAGAAGTGAGATGCAAATATATTTAAAACTGTCAAATTATATTTTTTTTTTATTTAATTTATTTAAATTATTTATTTAAGTGGTGTGACTACAGTTTTTTATATGTATATATATATATATATATATATATTATTTGTAATACATTATTATGATATCTGTGTGAGTTAGTGTGTCTTTGTTAACTTGAAGAAGGAATAAATACATTTAGGAAATTGATGCAAATATGTTTTAACCAGCCTAATTATTTGGTTTTTTTTTCCTTATTCTAATTATTTTAATTATTTCTTTAGCTGGTGTGACTACAGTTTCATATTTAAAAACATATTTTATTTGTAGTAAATTAGGATGATGTAATAATAATAATAATTAGTAGTAGTAGTAGTAATAGTATTAATAGTATTATTATTAATATTATTAGATCAAATAATGTGATACATGCAGTATACTTACAATATGCACGCAAATCATAATTTTACTATTTATCTTAAAAACAAACTTTCTTCCATTGAAGGAATGTCATACTAACGCAATTTAAAAACTGAGGCACCTCCTAAAAAAAATTCCTATACACCATTCCAATGTGTACTACAATTAAAACGGCTTTGCCCAAACAATAAGAAAACGTGGCAGAAAATGAGGGCATGCAAAAAAAAATAAAAAAAAAAAATAAAAAAAAAAGAAATAGAAAAAAAAAAAAAAATTAAGAAATCGAAACTTAAAAAAAAAATAGCTAAAAACGGTCCACTGCAATGATATATGTACAGACTGCAACATTTTACACAAGGCTCAGCACACCTGTACAGCAGAGGCCCTACTAATCAGTTAGCGAAGGACAGTTTGAATTGACCTTTTATTATTTATTATTGAATTTTTCGATTTGAATATTTCATAAAATAATTTTAAACATACTAATTAAAATATTAATAGTATTATTTCTATAACTTCATTTAATTTTAACTATAGCCAGGAAAGTTCAATTTGCAGGTATGTGCAAATCATCTCATCTGCATTTTATTTCACGGAACAGAACTATGTAATAGAATACTAACAAATAAGTTTGCTCACCTCGAGCTAAAAAAAAAAAAAAAAAAAACAAACAACAAAACAAACCAAAACAAAAAAACAAAAAAAAAAACCCAAAACAAATTAAAAAAAAAAAAATAATGCTTTAGAGCTATACCACCGTACACATTTTAGAGTTGTGTCCCAGCAGTGCAGAGAGTTTCAGAGCCCCTGGTCTCTTCTATGAGTCAGCCGCTGTCCGGTGCAGACAGAAGAGGTCAGTTTCTGGGAGTTGTACCAGGTCACAGATCAATCTGTATACAGGAATTGTACAGGTCTCCTGCCCTGGGTCAGTCGGCTCCTGTCCACATCAGTCTGTACAATACAATCCCATACAGAAGAAGAGAGTTTTATTGTACAGCTAGCCAGAAGGCAATCAATGCAAGTCTTGCATGAGTGCTCAGTCAGGGAAAACACGTGTACACAACTGTATGGCTGGGAGGGACAGCACAGATGGGGGCACCTTATAATCAACAAGTCCCCAATGTCCTCTGAAAGTTCTATCATCTATCTATCTATCTATCTATCTATCTATCTATCTATCTATCTATCTATATCTGTCATGTATATGATATATAATTGCTGTATTTGTTTTTTTCTACAATTAGCTAAATATCTGCCTAAATCTAATACATTGCCAGCCAACTAATAACTGTATCTCCTATTGACTTCAATTTTTCATTATACATTTTTTGCCTGAGATATCTAAGATTTGTATTTTAAAAAGTCATCCTACAATTTAGACTTCTTAACAGCAAAATGTAAAAGTACAAAACATAAAAGAATCGAAGAAGTACACAGATTGTGGCAGAATATAAGTACCTGTACCTGTAATAATCAACTGATGCTAAAAAATGCAATCCAAAAATAAAAAAGGATTCTGAAATAAAAAAGATAAAACCTTCGTTGTGTTCTCCATTTCATATCATCACCCAGATTCTGTAGGGGGGCAGGAGATACAAATATCTTTAAACAAATACCATGTTACCTGATCCCCTGGTAAAATGTATTAATGGAATTAAAACTACAACGACCTTTGCAGTGATCTGTGTGTAATCTGTGTATTATTATTATTACTATTACTACTACTACTATTACAAATAATATTAATAATATTAACAATGTTATATCAGAAATTCTCCCTAACATACCAGAATTGTTAATGGTGTGTGTGTGTGTGTCTTTATTTAATAAATAAAGAAATAAAGAAAATATTATTATTATTACTACTACTACTAATAATAATAATACTAACAATTTTATTGCAGAAATTCTCCCTAACATACCAGAATTGTTAATGTGTGTGTGTGTCTGTATTTAATAAATAAATTAATTAATTAATATTATTAATAATATTATTACTACTAATAATAATACTAACAATTTTATATACGAAATTCTCCCTAACATGCCAAAATTGTTAATGGGTGTGTGTCTGTACTTAATAAATAAATAAATAAATATAATAATAACAATAATAATAATAATTATTATTATTACTACTACCTACTACTAGTACTACTGCTAATATTTAATAATAATACTAACAATGTTATATCAGAAATTGTTCCTAACATATCAGAATTGTTGGTGTGTGTGTATCTGTAACTAATACATTAATTATTATTATTATTGTTATTATCATCACTACTACTACTGCTATCTACTACTAATAATAATAACAACAATGATAATAATAATAATAATGGTATATCAAAAATTCTCCATAAAATATCAGAATTTTTTATGTTTAAAAAAGTGTGTGTGTTTGACTGTGTTTATTAATAATAATAATAATAATAATAATAATAATTATTATTATTATTATTATTATTAGTAGTAGTAGTAGTATTGAATCAAAGAAACAAATATTTTAGTTCATATTATATTTTTACTGCTTCATTTGTTTCAGATAATTATTACGTAATACAGTTGTTGGTATTTACATATATACCGCTATTATTAAAAAAAAAAAGGAAAGAAACAGAGGGAAAAAGAGAGAAAGAGGGAAAGGAAGGAAGGAAGGAAGAAAGAAAGAAAGAAAGAAAGAAAGAAAGAGAAAGAAAACATAACCTTGCTGGCACGTTACCTTCCTCCAGCCAATGCAGTGAGTCTATGAGGTCCCAATATATTAAACATATGCAGAGTGTAGTTGGAATATTGTGATATTATATGAACTCAGAAATGCAATCTGCTCCCTCTGTGGCGATCAATAGGCGCCCTAATAAGTGTAATAGGTTTTAATCGAGTAATTATCCGAATTTTGACCTATAATTTAGACGTTAGGAGAGAGTTTGCAAGCTGCCTGAAAGAGATATGCACAATTCGATAATAGAATATCGATCGGGGCACTCGGGGGCTCTTCCCCCCATTATCGGCCTCTCTGCTGCTGCTAAGCACATTCTCCCTTCAGTGAAATCGAAGGAATTTAATTGTTTTTCCTGAGATAACCGTCGTTTTCTCACAATTAGTCTGATTTGTCCTAAAAAAAAAAAAAAGTAGAATTGAATGTGTCGCCCCAAGACAGAGGCAAGGTGTCCTGTGGATGGTATAAGTAGGCTTTAACCCCTTGCTGACAGCTGATGGACATGAACAGGGGGAGCAGGCAACCCAAGAGGCAAGGGTCACCCAGCAACTGCCAACCTGTGTCTCTGCAGTTGATGATGAGAGAACTACAAGTCCCAGCATGTCTTCAATATGGACGGTCCAGCAGCATCAGGATTAAAGGGAGCTTGAAGTTGAAATTGAGTTTGCAGAATACAAGTGATATTCTTTATTAGCTAACAAAAGTTATATAAAAATAAGGAATCAAATGTTAGGTTTCTTTAGAGTTAGGAGTTTGCTATATATATATATATATATATATATATATATATATATATATATATATATATATATATATATATATATATATATATATATATATGTGTGTGTGTGAGTTCTTTTTTTATAACAACCTAACATTTGATTTTATATATATATAATATTTTTTTTTTCCCTTTATAAGTACTTCACTGATGTACAAGACAAGACAAGACTATATATATATATATATATATATATATATATATATTTTTTATATATATATATTCATTTCTTGTTTTTTGTTTTAATATTATACTTATGTACAAGGCTCTCTCTCTCGTTCTCTCTTTCTTTTTTCTAGAAATACATTTTTATCATTTATACTAACAGCATAATAAATTGGTTTATATGAATTTTCAGAGGAACAAGTCCATTCGTTTCCAGTTTAGCCAAAGCAGAACACATAATTCTGGAAAATGTGCACATCAAATTTAGAAATGCAAATGAACGATTGATCTTTTCTATAACTTTGCCCATATTCCCTATAAAGTGCAATCTTTTAAATAAACGTTCATTGACAGCTGATAGATGGCAATGTTCTAGAGTACAGGAGATATATCTGACGATCAGAAAGGTGTAGAGAACTTACTTAGAACATCGGGGGACTTTTTGCAGGTGTCAAAGTCTTCAATGAAGGGTTTCTGATCGGTGCCAGGCTCCTCCAGCTTGTCCTCTGCCCTCAGGATGTAGTCGGTGCTTGGCTTGTAGACCATATTGCAATGTCTCTGCTTGCTGTTGAATTTATTAGGGTCCAGGATGTCCAGGACTGAGAAGGAGGTGGTTCTGTGGACTGCTGGAGGTGCTGCTACTAAACCCTCTTGGCCGGGAGTGTTGCCACCTGACTGTCCCCTTGTCTGTCCCTTGGGCAGCCATAGACTGGGAGCTCATTGGTTGAGAGTCTTTGGTCACCGTGGGTGTCCATGATGTCTCCGTGCAGGCTGCAGGACACGGCTTCCACCACCACCGCTGGTTGTGCTTGAGGCATGGAGATGTCCACCTGAGCCTTGTCCCTGTTCATTGCTTGGTCACTAGACTCTAGGGGAAAGCTGGTCCAGCAGGATTCAAATACCTCCAGCCTAACAGCTCCACGGGAGAGTCATAGCACCATCTTCCCAGAGCTGGATGTGGATCTTGCAGTCTGGTGCTCCTCTAAGTTTTGTGATCCTGTTGAGATCTCCAAGTTTAGAAGGCGCCCCAGACTGCCCTGAGTCTTTTCTTCTGAGAACTTTGTGACTGAGCCCTTACTCTTGGGTACTAAAACCTGACAGTCCTCTTGGTCTTCTCAAGTCCAGGAGCACCTGGAGCTCTGTGGGTTCCTCCTAAAGTTGAGAGTCAGCTTATTGGTCCCAGTTCTTGCAACACTTTTGCTCAAGGTGTTATGAGTCTCCAATTCTTGTGACCCAGTCCAGTGTGGACTTCACTCAGAGTAGTCCTCCTGTGGCCTGTCGAGTGTTTCTGTCAACCTTGGTCCAGTTCTGGTGAAGGATCAGCAGATAAAGTTGATAGGACTGATAAAAGTTATTGCCTTTGCTTTTTGGTCTCCCAATCTGGTCAATATGTTGCTTTAGCTTTCTGGTCTCTCAACTTGGTCAAGATGTTGCCTTTGTTTTTTGGTCTTTCAGCCTGGTCAGGATGTTGCTTTTGCTTCTGGTCTAAAGCTGCTCAAGATGTTGCCTTTGCATTTGGTCTCTCAACCTGCTGAAGAAGCTGTTGATGGCGTTAATGTCCAGTGAAGTTCGCTGATCTGTGCAGTGTGAACAGGCAGAGGCTGAGCAGTGTCCTCTCCATATGGTGGGAGAGCAGTGTGAGGAGTACAGAGAGGAGGGAGCTCTATGATGCTGTGTTGGTACCCTGAGCTCCTCTCCCAGCATCACATCTCCATTCATCTGTGCAGCATCTAAATAGCCTTATTTGGGAAAGTGGGAGGTGATGGGATTTCTTTTAAATAATTGCGGGATCAATAGCAGGAACTTATATACAAAATGAGACCATCAGATCAGATAGGCTAAGCCTCGGCTAGGACTGACTAAATGGATTATAACAGTTAGTATTGCCAAATTCGCGTTTTGACAGTCTGGAGAAATACGAGGCTGGGGCACCCGGAGACTTATGACTCTCCCGGCACAATATACAACTGCACATAATTATGCTGCACCGGGAAATGCCGTTTATTATGGGGGTGGGGGAGCCGCAAGGTGCATTTCTCAGGAAAATAAAAAATCAACATCTTCCCATTTCATAAATAAAACTCGGCTCATTTATTACCGGAGCGCTGCTGTTTACTGCAGAAAAATGGCATTGTGGAGGTGATGTGATAGAGCTGAACGCAGGGCAGGATGGGGGGTATTAGAGACTATGGCACCGTCTACATGGGACTATCTCTATAATATCATTTCTATTCTTACTTATGTACACTACATCGATTTTAAATAATGATCTAACAGAATATATATATATCCATCACCATCTTTCTCTGAACATTTTTCTGTTTTATCTGCCCCTCTCTCTCATTTCTCTCTGTCTCATCCCCTTACCCTTTCTTCCCTTCCTTTCTTTCTCGTTCTCTCTGTCCTTTATCCTTGTGCTGTTCTATCTGTCTGTCTCCTTTTCCTTATTTCTGTCTCTCTCTACCTCTTTCTGTTTTTCTATCTCTCTCCTTTTACACCCTTCTCTCTGTTAGTCTTTGCTTCTCTCCCTCACTCTCTTTCTTTTAACTTTCACTCTCCTATCTATCTATCTATCTATCTATCTATCTATCTATCTATCTATCTATCTATTTTCTATCTATCTATCTATCTCTATCTATCTATCTATCTCCTCTTTCCCAGGTTTACACCCTTCTATCTCTTTTTCTTTCTCTCTCCCTCTCTTTCTTTTTACTTCCCTGTATCTGCCTTCTTTTACTTCTCTCTCCCTCCATTTACTTGTCTTTCCCAGTCTCCCTCTCATTTTACTTCTCTCTCTGACTGTTTGTACCTCTCTCTCTTTCTTCCCCCTTTACTCTCTCTCTCTCTTCCCTATTACTCCCCCCCCCTATTTTCCCTTACTTCTTTATCTTCCTTTCTCCTTTTAGTTTCCAGTATCTGTCTTCTTTTACTTCTCTCGCTTTCTTTTTTTTTTGCTTCCCTCTCTCTCTGTTCCTTTACTTCTCTTTCTTTTTTTCTTCTTTTACTTCTCTCTCTTTCTCTTTCTCACTCTCTCCTCCTTTCCTTATTTCTGTCTCTCTGTATCTGTATTTCTGTCTCCTTTTATTTCTCTCTCTCTTTATTGTTTTCTCCTATTACTTCCCTCTCTTTGTCTTCTTTTATCTCTCTCTGCATCTCTTTCTCCTTTACTTCTGTCTCTCTTTCTTCTATTACTTCGCTCACTCTCTCCTCTTTTTCCTTATCTCTTTAATAAAACTGAAACAAGAAGACCTGTAGACAAGTGGAGTTGTTACCCATAATATTGGTTTGGATGGCCAATTGCCCCTCTTTTCCTTAGATTTCCGTGTGGCAGCTTTTAAAAATCAATTCCTGTAAAATAATCCCTCTATTTACATCCGACTACCTATGACCATTATTACCGTATTTATCTATCCCTTATGTATGTATGTGTGTATGTTTATAATTATGTATGTGTGTACTTTTTTATGTATGCATGTTTGTATGTTTATATTTATTTGTATGTATGTATGTATGTATGTTTTGTTCGCATTTTTTTGAATTTATCTGTGTGTGTAATGTGTGCATGTTTGTAGGTATGTGTGTCATGTGTGCATGTCTGCATGTACTGTATGTGTGTATGTTTGTAGGTATGTGTGTCATGTGTGCATGTTTGCATGTACTGTATGTGTGTATGTTTGTAGGTATGTGTGTCATGTGTGCATGTTTGCATGTACTGTATGTGTGTGTATGAGTGCATGTTTGTAGGTATGTGTTCATGTTTGTAGGTATGTGTGTTATGTGTGCATGAATGTTTGCATGTTTTTATGTACGTGTGTTATGTGTGCATGTTGGTATGTATGTGTGTGTATGTTAAGTGTGCATGTTTGTATGTATGGGTGTTATATGTGCATGTTTGTATGTATGGGTGTTTTGTGTGCATGTTTGTATGTATGGGTGTTGTGTGTCTGTATGTGTTAAGTGCATATGTGTGTATGGGTGTTGTGTGTCTGTGTGTGTTATATGCACAAGTATGTATGGGTGTGTGCATGTTTGCATGTATGTCTGTGATATCTGCATGTTTGAATGTTCACCCATGTTCTTCCTATAAATATATGCCTAGCTGGTCACACACACACATATGGTAGCATTGATACTGACAGATCTCCTGAGCTTCTCCCCTGCTGACACTGACACAGGGATGGCTCTGGGTGTAATTATCGGAGGCAATGATCCTTTGGAAAGCAGGAATTAAAAGTTGTAAGGAATAATGATGTAAAACAATCAGAGTCAGTGTGGCAGGGGTGAGACCCGATGAGGGAGAGGGGTGACCCCCGGGAATTGTCCCTCTCACACTGACTGCTGCTGGAATATTCATGTGTGCTGCAGATCGCAATCATTCCCCAGCACGCCGAGCATTCCATCTAGGAATCCTTTATTACATCTTATCTCTGCATTATAAATCACTTACAAAGAGGGGGCTGATAGGGGCTCCCTAGGATTGTGTCCGGGGAATGACTTTCCCTTATGATGGCACCCACTTACAAAGTGTCACATTTGGTTTAGCCATCTCATTTGGCTGCTTGCAAATGAATGGAGATCTGCAGATTGTGTTCCCTCCCTGGACACCCTCTCTGGGCTCCCTGTGTACTGGGGAGAGCAATGTACTAAAAACCTGGAGGAAATTAAAGTGCAAAATCTGTTGTATGAGTACAAACCAAGGTCAATGCAGTGTGATATGGATTTCCAGGGATTTATATATTATGATATAACCATATAATGTATATTAGACCAGGGATAATAGATATACATATATAGCACAATGTATTCCCCTCCCTATCTCACTCTCTTTTCCCATTATCTATCTATCTATCTATCTATCTATCTATCTATATCTATCTATCTATCTATTTATCTATCTAATATATAAATTGAATAACAGTATATGTATATATACATATTTATATAGACATTATATATATATATATATATATATATAGTTAGTTAGTTAGTTAGGTAGGTAGACACATACAGGTACTGTATATCCAAATCTATCTATCTATCTGTCTATCTATCTATCTATCTATCTATCTATCTATCTATCTATCTATCTATCTATCTATTTATCTAAAATATAAATTGAATAACAGTATATGTATATATACATATTTATATAGACATATTATAGATGTATATCTATAGTTAGTTAATTAGGTAGACACATACAGTTACTGTATATCCAAATCAATCTATCTATCTATCTATCTATCTATCTATCTATCTATCTATCTATCTATCTATCTATCTATTATATGAATTGAATAACAGTATATGTATATTTATATAGAAATATTATATACTGTATGGTTAGTCACATACAGTTATATCCAAATCTATCTATCTATCTATCTATCTATCTATCTATCTATATCTATCTATCTATCTATCTATCTATCTATCTATCTATCTATCTATATCTATCTTTTGTTAATATATATAAAAGAAAAAGACACAGCAGCTTTCTTTTAGAGGCCAGGCGATGTAAAGATGTTCTATGGCTTCTAATCACAATTGATTGTCAATTAAAGGCTCATTTGCGCAATCTTCATCCATCTGCCATCTCTGGTTATGTGCTGAGCTGAGGCTGGCTCTGAGGACTGTCTGTGGGATGACTTGTGACAGCTAATATCTCTCTTATCCTGGTAGATGAGAGTTCCTTCCTGCTGAACACAGAGCCCTCTGCTTCTCATTCCTT